GTGTGTGTGTGTGTGTGTGTATGTGTGTGTGCGTGTCCATGCTCCTCCCTCCTCCTCCATCCACATAATCGGTGAGCAAAGTGCGGTAACGTAATCGGTGGGGGTACGGGGATAGGGAAGAGGAGGGGCAGAAAAAACAGCGCTTAGTGAGTTAGTGTTTTTAAAAAAAACGAAAGTTATGAGAAATATACGGGGTCGTATGTTGATAAGTACCTTTGTAGTAATTGTAGGTGATTATGCGTTGAGTATTTTGGTTAGCGAGGGTAAGACTGTATATTTACTGGGGTATAGGGGTAGTTGTGTTTTTATCTCGCAGTATTTATTTACCTGTACAGACAACTTGTAATGTAATCACTCAAAATTGGCAGGCAATCAGGGATATATTAATGAACCAAGAAGAGTTGTAATTTATGTACCTCACGCTTCATATGAAGATTATACGTCAAATCGGTTGAGAAAGCATTTTTAGAAAAAACGGGTGGAGAAAATAATATTTTCGTATGTCCTACTAATCATAAGTGGTCATATACCTGGGTGTATGGTAGGTATGCGACTTGCGTAAATATTGGGGCGATGGTGAGATTAGGCGAGTAATTGCTAACGCCACGGGGAGAAGGGGTGTTTCCCTATAACTTAGAGGAGATTACACGTCAAATCGGCTGAGAAAGCATTTTAGAAAAAATGGGTGGAGAAAGGGATTTTTTCGTATGTACTACTAATCATAGATGAACCTATACCTGGGTGTATGGTAGGTATGCGGCTTGCGTAATCATAGGTGCAATGATGAAACTAGGCGAGTAATTGCTAACGCTACGTATTCAAGAAAAGAGGGAAGGGGTGACTTCAATTACAATATGCATATATCAATAAGTGGATTCGAAAACGGACTACTTGGGCACTCAAAGGAAGTTTATACGTACGTGTTATATGGAAGGGTGGAAGGATTTAGTAAATTTAACAGGAGTTTCTTTGAGTATTCTTATGTTGCGGTCTAACTAGGTGGAGAGCGTACGAATGAATCACTTTGCTGAGTAGCGGTGGGCAGACGGATGGTTCCTGGTGCTGTAAGAGATTCGCGTGTTGGTGTACAAAGAAGGGATGGTGAGGATCGTTTTTGATTTCACAGGGTTGAACCATGTTGTGGGTAGGGCGATAGGCGTGTAGTGTAAGCTAGGATGAGAGACAAAAAAAATGACGATGTTTGTGGCAGAATTTTGTGCGGCAATGGGCGGCGGTGGCATGCAAGTCATAGGCATCGCGGTGGGGAGTGGGGGGCGAGATCGAGAGAGGAGGAGGAGGGGGAAAAGAGAGAGAGTAATTAGTACAAACCCTAGCACGCGACGGGGGTTAAATGAGTACCAGAGATAGTCGTGCATAGTCTTGTCAGTAGGGGAGTCTACCCCTACTTAGCGACTGGATAAGAGACCCTGGTGTGTGTGCGGGGGGGGGTGTACGTTACACGACCATCCCAATTGACTGGGAAACAGGACAACGCACAACTCCGAGGGTACCCCATTCGATGCGGATTAGCTAGCCATAGTGGCTATGGTGCTAGGGGCTGTAGTCTTTAGCGGGTTTATAGAGGGGGTAAGGTTAGCGGGGAGCAGAAGATTAGCAGTTAGTATTAGTGGTTAGCGGGGTTAGGAGAGGGCATGAGCCCAACCATAGCGGGGGTGCACGCCCTAAAGCGCGCTTTTCGCCACTTAGCACCCATAGCAGCTCATCAGAGGGATTAGCTTAGTAACAGCTCCAGCTAGCATAGGGGTTGGGTGGGAGGAGGGAGGGATATGAGTGAAGGTGGGGTGTAAGGTAATGCAACAGGGTTTTTTTTTTTTTTTTTTTTTTTGGCGATCCATACTTGAGGAGTCATGGCAGGTGCAGTTGGGGAATCAGTCGCCGCCATCGCTTGTAACGAGTCTCGTGCAGCGCAGAGTTAGGTAGCCCGCACACCAACAGGGCGGACAGTTCACTATACGCATGCTGCAGCGTACTCAGGTACGGGATTAACAGTGAAGTTGCATACCCGTGTGAAGAGACGTAGGAGGATGGGCGCAGCAGGAGGTCTTAGTGGCAGGATTCCGACGATAGAGCGCAAGTGTCAAGCATCGCAAGTTTGCGAATAGCAGTTCCCGTCTGCGTGGGTATCTGTTGCATTGTGCGTGCATTGCGAGCTATATATTCTGAAGAGCGCTATGCGGAGTCTGGAAGCTTTTGGCTTTGCGCGGATGAAGTAGGAAGTAGGAAGTAAGCGAGGCTTCATTTTGGTAGGGTCAGGATTAGTTCTTTCGTGGGATGGGGGGATGGGGGTGGTGGATATCTCTTTTGAGTTGCTATGTATAGAGGCGGAAAAAATGGGGACATTTGTTTGTATATGGGAGTTCATTGCTTCATACATGGGTCGTGGGGGGGGTAGGAGTATGTACGGGATGGGTCGTGTGTTTATGCTATCGTATTTGTTGTCGGGATGCTGAAGCTTTTTTTGTGGTTGTTTTTACTGGAGCAGCAACATGTGCAAGGTGTGGGTTCTTTTGTCGTTTTGGGAGGTGGACTGGCTATGGCGGCAGATGGGAGCAACGTGGTTTGTCTGTCTTATTCGTGTGTCCGTTTGTCTTGCGTTCTGTTAGGTCCGTCGTTTCGATGTAGTGCTCTGCGACTACCAATTTTGTCTGTGTGCCGTACGGTGTTCGAGTGAGGACCGTGCTGGGTGCTTATTTATGTGGGCGTAGCTTTAGTTTTTTTGTTTGTCGTCTAGTTTTTTGCGTCAGTAATCATTTCTCCTGACCCATAACTTGTACGTAGGCAGTGGTTTGCATGGTATACCGTTGCCTGTTTTTATTATCTGTACTGTACGTGTTAATTGTCGGAAAATCCGCACCAGGTGTGGAAACTTGTTTCCCGTGTGTATTTTCATATGGGGTGTAGCTTGTTCTATCAATTTGGAAGAAACATGACAATATTACTTGGTTATTTTATTATTGGAGCATAGTTTCCTTAATAATATATTGAAAGGTTTAAAGTTCCATTTATTTATTTTTATATTTTTTTTTTTTTTAATTTTTCTTATATATTATTATTTATGATTTATTTTTATTTTTTTTATTATTATCTTTTTATTTATGATTTATTTTATTTTATTTTTTATTTTTTTAAAATTTTATTTTATAATATATTTTTATCTTTATTATTTTTTTTAATTATTATTTTATTTTTTATTTTTTATTTATATCTTAAATTTAATTTTATTATTTATTATTTATTTATTTATTTTTATTTTTATTTTTATTAATTACATTTAAATTTTAAATTTTTATGTATATTATTATTATTATTATTTTTTATTATTATATTATATTATTATTATTATATTATTATTATTTCTATAGTGAATATGTGTGTGTGTATGTGTGTGTGTGTGTGTGTGTCCATGCTCCTCCCTCCTCCTCCATCCATGCTTATCGCCCTCCTCCCTCCTCCTCCATTCATGCTCGTCACTCTCCTCTCTTCTCCTCCAGCCTCCAGCCTCTAGCCTCCATCCTCTATCCTGATCGGCTCCGTCATCGTCATAGTCTCAATCCTCCCTACTCCTTTCCATCCTCTTCCCTCGTTCCTCCTCTTCCTTCGTTCCTCCTCATTCCTCCTCTTCCGTCCTCTTCCGTCCTCTTCCGTCCTCTTCCCTCGTTCTTCCCTCCTCCAACTTTCTCCTCGTCACCCCTCCCTCTCCTCCTCCTTGATTGTCGACCTCCTAACCATCACCATGGCTGTCTTCTTGGCGTCATCGCCCATGCACGTGCGCGCGTCTGTATATATGTGTGTGTGTGTGTGTGTGTGTGTGTGTGTGTGTGTGTGTGTGCTCATCGCCAAATTTCTGATATGCCCCGGTAGCATCTCTCCCGGGGCCAGGGGAAAGACTGCGAGTGTCAACAACGGCCACAGGGGCTCTCTGGAAAGAAGGATGGTCCCATAAGGGCATATGGGAAACGTTTGTGCTGGTTCTCAACGGCCATCCGGGAGGGGCATACTGAAAATTTTGCACTGGTACGAGTAGGGGCATACGAAACATTTTCAGGCCCAAACGACGCCAGGGGTTTTCTGGAAACATCATTCGTCGTCAGAGGGGCGCGACAAGGTAAGTCGGCCGTCAGAGGGGCAGACCGCAAATAAACGTAAACTTCAGGGGCATTTCGAAAAGGTTTCCAAAAAAAAAAGACCGAGTTCAAGCCTCAAACGAGGGAACATGCAGGGCCTGAACCCGACCTGCAGGTGAGCGATACCGACTGGGGTCAGCCGGTAGCATGAGGACCGAGCTTCTTCGATGGGCCAGTCGCAGTGGCTCCCCTCCCCTACGAACATCAGCAGTCAGTCGCTGCTCAATGCCGCTCGGGGCCACCAACGGGCTATCTCTAGGTGGCGGGCGCCAAGCTCGCCCAGGAAGGTGGATGAAGCCAATGGGATTGAACCCAAGACCTCCTGAATTCCACTTGCGTGCCTTAGCAACTGAGCTACCTGGATCCTTCCCATCCCACAATTTCTCTCTCTTGCTCGGTCTCTCTCCACACCCACCCATGCCGCTATCACAGAAATCGGGAGCCCTTTGGGGTGCGCTGCCCGCCCCCGCGGTCAGCCAATTGGCTGCATCGCAGCCATTAGCCGTCCCCTTCGATCTAGGCCTTACCCCATGTCTTTTTTCCACAGGTCGTCTCGATCTTTGCTTGTACTATTCGAATGGGCCATGACAGCCGTCCGGGCAGGCGTACAGCGATCGCAGCAGAAGCCCATAAGCACCGAGGGCAAGAGGAGGCTATGTTTGCCATTCGCGGGTGACTATCGCGGGGCAGGGAAGTGAAGTCGGGAAGGAGAAGCTGGGCGCGACGGGCGGGAAAAGGTTCGAAGGGAAGGCGTTGATTTTGGTGGAGATGTATGCGCAGGCACTTCCGTTTGCTCCGCGGATCATCTGATGTCCGATGTAGGTTGCGCCGCTTGGGCGATTCAAAGCACTAGTAGCGATCGGTAAGGAGGAGAGGTGGAATAGCTAGTTGCAGCCAGTTGCATGAGGGAGTCGAGGGATCAAGTAGTGTTCATGACCACTCCGGATCCTACGGGTAGGCCCACCGGCCAAGGGCAAGCCGAATCGGTCGATGCATGTGCCTGCTGAATGGTGGACCAGGAAGGTACTCGGAGAAGGCGGGAAGATCTGGGAGAAGAGGGGTGGCAGTGCTCGCCAAAGGCCGGCGCGGTCATCGCAGGAATGCAATATGAATTTTTGAAGTGACGTTTTTGGTTTTCCTTCGCGTGTGGTTGTGGTCGCAGGGCGCAATCGCAATCGGGGGAATGTCAACCTTAGTTTGCTAACTCACACTTGTCAGCACCTCAAACAGCTTTTCGTTGTCGCGGTTTCGATTGCTCGGCCTATCGACCTCGGACACAGATACCATTCTGTGCGCACGCGCGTACACACAAACACACGCAGACACACACACAGAGAGAGAGAGAGAGAGAGAGAGAGAGAGAGAGAGAGAGAGAGAGAGAGAGAGAGAGAGAGAGAGGGTGTCGATCGCTGGGCCTGTCGACCTCGGACACAGATACCATTCTGTGCGCGCGCACGACCACACATACACACACACAGAGCAGAGAGAGAGAGAGAGAGAGAGAGAGAGAGAGAGAGAGAGAGAGAGAGAGAGAGAGAGAGAGAGAGAGAGAGAGAGAACGAGAAGAGGAAGAAAAGAGGAGCTTCGATTCCTGAGAGGAGTAAGGAAGGAGTGAGTGGGGTGAAGTTGAAGTGGAGGAGTGGGAATGTGTCTGTAGTGCTTATCCGGACGATACTGCCAAGTAGGAGAGCGACTGGAAAGCAGGTGGAAGAAAGATGGATTGGCTCTATTTCTGGTCGCCGAGATGGAAAAGGGGAAGGGTGCGTCTGGACAGCCTAAGAGCTCCGGCCGTGCAATTCGGAACCCATCGAACCATTTACATCAACGATCCCCAGAATGCCACGACGGTAACTTTCCGGGTATGTTGTTTCTCTCTGCCTTTTCACCCCTCACTACACATTCTTTTGTGTCCCCTTGTGTGCCCTACCCCTCTTGCCAACCTTTTGTGTGCCCTACCCCTCTTGCTGACCTTTTGTGTGCCCTACCCCTCTTGTGAACCTTTCTCTTTTCATCTCATACCATAATACAGCACGTCTTCTTACGCGGAAGTTGCCTATCTGTGAACTTGTTCAGCTGTGACCGGCTGAAATCGAGATTCATCCGTTTCCTCATTAGCACTGGATACCTCCCTATCCGATCTTCATTTCCCGTTTCCTCATTAGCACTGTATGGCGTAACTTTCAGGCGAGCATGGCCGGATGTTGTTTTCCCTTGGAAGAAGTGTAGTTCCATATCGCCCATCTTCCTCACGTCGAATCGGCGGGGCGTTTTGACGTCTTCGGCGTCCTCGTTTTGAGTCGTCGACCGGCGCCAAGGTCCCACTTGCACGGATTATGAGATTTCGGCCGTTGATCTTGGCTATCTACGGTCCATATATCTCTTAATTCGTGCAAGTGGGACCTACGGTAGCCCAGGGCGTTGTGTTCCGGGTATTTCCTCTTCGATTTCTTTCTTTGCTTGTGAAAAAACAGTATGCCTCGCTCCTTCCCTGCGCAAATCGGTACTTGGCCTCTCTCTTTGACACTCTGATTGCACTTTCATCTGTTTTCTTACCTCTTTCTCCCCTCCTCTTGAAACAGAAACCATCTCAGCTCCATTCCTGTTTGGGAAAAATTAGGTCGAAGAACAGCTTCTCATTCCTTGCGATACTTGCCTTGTTCAATTTTTTTTGACACTCTTCTCGTTTTATCTCTTACTCTTTCTTATGCTTTCCGCCCTTTGTCCTGCTTCCTTCTCCTGTCTGAGTCTCTTTCTCCCCCCTTTGCCCCCCTCCCCCTCTCCCTCTTTTTTTTTTTTTTTTATAGAAAAAACCCACCAAGTTCTGTCCTGTATTTCTTTGTTTCCTCAGTTTGCCCTCTCTCTCTCTCTCACTTTTTTCCTGCAATCTGTCTACCTTGTCCGCTCTAGCTTGTTCTACCTCTAGTCTGCAGGCCTGACAGCCTGTCGCCTATGAATGGTATCTCGTACTCTTTATCGTCCATCGCCTCCACCTCTTGTGAATACGTTGTCGTTATCTTGACCGTTAGCATGGAGATCGAGGGTGCGGCATCCATCGGTAGGGTACGATTTCCTGTGGAAGTGTCACGCAACAGTGCAACTCCGTTGCGCGCTGCCGCACGGTCACGCAAAGGGTCGCAAGGAATCGTGCGGCAGACGTGCAAGGGATCGTCGGACAAAGGGTAGCATGATCGTGTGGCAGGCGTGGAAGGGATCGTCGCACGGGCGCCCGGTGGAACGATGCTTGCAAATCGATCGCATGTGTGGTCTTCCGGGACCGGGCAAATGTTAAGGGCGAGCACTGCGCCTTCATTTCTGCAGCCCTAACCCCCAATCGCCGTTGCAAATATCCGCGCACGCAGACATCATCCGCAGGCGAGTCTGCATAGACCCGCGTGGGCCTCTGTGTGGGCCTCTGTGTGTGTGTGTGTGTGTGTGCTGTCTCTTATACACATCTAGATGTGTATAAGAGACAGTAGATATGTTGGCGCCCATCGGTCGCTGCCTAAAGAAAATGCGTTCCTAACTCACGAAGAAATGTTTTTCTAATCGTTAAGGGAAGTGGTGGTTTGAACGACAATTTATTTGGCAAAACCACCAAGTATAAGTTAAATGTGACGATTTTGCTGGACATGTTAATTTTTGGTTTTGACGAGCAGATTTTTCTATATGTTTGTTTTTAGATTTTTAGGATATTATAATATCGGGGCAATAAAAGTTGTAGCCCTACAAGGAGTTAACAAGGACCCCCAAATTTGTGGCTTAAAAGGTGTGGAACGTTTGTTATAATGACCCAGAAAAACCCTGCAAATTTAGGACTCTGTTAACCACTTTTCCTTTCCTGCACAACAAAGGTTGCTTGAGCATCAGAAAGTGCCACGTAGTTAGTCATCATAATGTTCGATGAGTAACAAGGTACGCAACATACATATGTTGAACCACATTGTTACAGATCAAAATACCACGTACCATATTGCGTTTTACCGAACTCAAAAGTCAGTGATAATGTGCATATATAAATATATAGATACATACATATATACATGTAAGTATATATATATATATACTTAAGTGTATGTGTGTGTGTGTGAACCTGCAGTCTGTAGAGTTTTCCATCTGGTGTGGGTAAGTGATAGTCTGCTTTGATTTTTGTCACAGGTACCTTAAGGGCAGTGGCTGGTGCCAGCCTCAGGGTATCAGTTGTCGGGCAGTCGTTAATTATTAACCACAGTCGAGGTTAAGGTGGATTGTCACTTATAGTGTAATCAGTTAGGGGATTCTGCAGACTATTGAGGGTTCAACCTCCTAATGAGTCAGTGAAACTATGACGAAACATTTTGTCACAACCCCTCGTATGATGTCATTTTCGCCCTCTTTGCCTACGGTTTACCGGACAACTCTGTTTCATGATATATATATATATATATATATCAACGGAAAAATTTTCTAGAATTAAATAATCATTCTATAGTGAAATTACATTCTAAATTTAAAATTTTCATTCTATCTTAAAAAAATGTCATTCTAATTTTAAAAATTTTCGTCTTACTTAAAAATTTTCCTTCCAACTATGGGGTATCCCTTCTTATTTGAACTGCATGCTAGAGATGGAATGAAAGTGTGGACGAGTTCATTAAATATTTCAATTGGACTGTCATTATAAGTAAGGATTTTCGGTCATAAATAGGTTAATCCAATATAAATTAGAAGATATTTATTGTAGTAGAATGAAAGTTTAATAAAAATATTTAATAAACTCATCCATACTTTCATTCCATCTTGAACAAATAGATGTAGTTGGAAGGGAAAGTTCATATTTAGACGGGATCTTATCAAATAAAACTAAAAATTCTAGAATTGGACGAACATTGGAATGATAATTTATAAATATGAAAGATTTTTTTTTTAATGGAATATTTTTCAACTTTTATTTCTCGTGGGAATTTTTATGTTGATATATATATATATATATATATATATATGGCCCATAAGCCATTCACCAAGAAGGAGAAGACACAAAACACGGGAGTAGGACAAGGCGCATCATCGGAGTTGTAGAGACTGATCGGGAGGATGAATATTTTAATTCGTCTATTACTATATGTCAATGAATAGTCAATTTTTGTTTTTATTTTCATGAAGAGATTACGTATCGTCTGGAGTGTTTTTTTATCTGATAAATCTGAGACCGAGGTCGACAACCCTTATGTAAAGGATAAGGTACCCATTAGTAGAATGATTGAGGCACTCGACGTATTTGAATACTGGGGCGTCAAAAGGTATCAAAAAAAAAAAAAAAAAAAAAAAAAAAACCTAATTATCGAATTGAAAAAATATTGTTAAATATAGTTTCGTTCAGCGATGTCAACTAACATAATTTCAATGTCACCCTTTGACAAAAAATATATATATATTTACGATTTCTTTATTGCAACTTTTTTTTTTTTTTTTTTTGCACGAACCTCCGCTGGTTGTTACCGCCCCGGGCTTCACGGGCAGTGAAGATCACAAAGGTTTTGAATGTAATACTTACAAATTATAAAAGAGATTTTTAAATAAGGTTAGCAATATGCTTGCCAATGTTTCTGGAGAACCATGTTGTTGCAGATCAGACTGCATTTCTTCCTTTTCTTTTATTTTTTTCCTTCTTTGCTTTCCCTCCCTCTCTCTCACACACTCTCCCTCTCTCACACTCTCTCTAGGCAACAACAAACCATTACCATTGTTGATGAGAATTGGTATTGTCCTTCTGTGTCAAAAGGTACGCAATGTTTTGTGGGTCAATACACATATTTCCCACTAAAGTACAACATACCTTTCGATCATTACCCATGTTGTTGCAGATTAGACTGCATTCTTTCCTGTTCTTTTCTTTTTTTCCTTCTTTGTTTTCCCTCCCTCTCTCTCACACACTCTCCCTCTCTCACACTTTCTCTGGGCAACAACACACCATTACCATTGTTGATGAGAATTGGTATTGTCCTTTTGTGTCAAAAGGTACGCAATGTTTTGTGGGTCAATACACATATTTTCCACTAAAGTACAACATACCTTTCGACCATTAAGTATACGTGAAAGGTCTCTGTTTTTCACACACATGTAAATCATATAATCCATAGGTTGAACCCTGACTCCTCCATATTTGTATTCCTTACCAAAGGCAACTAACCACATACAAGTAAGGACTGTGTTGAGACTGTGTCGGGAATGTGTTGGGATCGTGTTCGAACCTACAAGGGAATGTGTAGGGACTGCATGAGGACTTTGTTGAGATTTGTTTGTTATATGATAGTCCAGGGTGAAGAGCATGGCAAACAGCTGGGCCCTGCAGTAATAAAAAATATACATATAAAATCTCAATTCTATATTTGAAAATAAATATTTGGACGAACAATTTTTATGTTGACCCTTGGGTGGTGCGCAGGCAGTATCTGTAACAGTATCATGCGTCAACCCAAGGGAGTGTATGTCCAACCGTGTGTCAATTTAACGCCCTGTCGGTGTCCAATCGCAAGGTTGCAATTGAGTTTTGAACCCGCAACCTCATACCACAATGGGCATTTCCAACCTCTGCTCTAACCACTAAGCCACATCAAATGGACCTCCCACTAGGTTCTTATTAGGCCTTACCTCGGTCTTCCACTGGGTTCCCCAGCCTTATATACCCCCCTTACTTTTAACCCTAAGGCCCACGACAAACTTAGGAGCTGGGCACCGGGACCCTCGGTAAATCAATAAGTTTGGATAGGACGCAACCTAACTCAGTTGGTAAGGCACGCAAGTGACATTCAGGACGTCGTGGGTTCAATCCCCATTGGCCTCATGAACTTTCCTGGGCATGATTGACGCCCGCCACCTAAAG